CTGGCTTTGAGAAAAGCTAATGGTTATTATCGGGATTTATAAGAAGCTTACCGCAAATTTTGCAGATTATTTAAACTTCTTTCTGTTGCTTGCATAATAATGCGAATACTGGTATCAGCACAAATGGCAATTTGGAAATGAGTAGCGTTTTATAGATTTATTATTCAATTACCGCAATTAAATTTGACACACGACCAGGAAAACTTTGTGCATTATTCTAATGGAATCTTAAATATTCATCAACACTCGGTTCCCAATTTAATTAATTTAGCTTTCTCATGTTGTTTATCTACCAAAGTTCCGACTGACATAATGAAGCAACGTGTCCGAGGGGAAGTTCCTCCGTTCCGGGTCAACAGGACTCAGCCGCTCGAATTCCCCGCAAACTCATTTGCATACGAGGTGCTATCGAAATAAAAATTTAACAATTCCAAATGAGGGTGAGAGGCCAACTTGGTATGCAAATTGAACAAACACAAACCGCAGCAAAGTTTGCGTTGGGCCAAAAAACAAAAAGGTGAAGTTCAAAGTTTCCACTCCAGTTGATATGATACGATTGAGTCTCACACGCGCAGGTTTTGTTTAAAAATCTGTTGAATATGCAAATTGCACTTAAACGATTGCGGCGAACATTTTAGTAAATTTTCCAGCGAACTTTTTTCGCTCCCATATAAATTTAATAATTTATCACATTATTTAAAGCTTTAAGCCGCTTTCAGATTTGCCCCCCTCACGAAGGCCTTTTTCCATCTTCCTGTTCGTAATAAACGATATTTTGTTCTCTCACACAACGACGCAAGCATCTAAAATTTTAGCATTTTTTAAATTTTTAGCATCTTCTGCTCCGCAGGTAAGGGCTAGGCCAAACTTTTTCTCTGCAAATTTCCTACACTGAAGGTGAGAGCTTTAGCTTTACTAAAAACAAAATAAATAATAATGCAATTATAAAAAACGATACTGTGCAAAATATGTTTCAAAACTTTTTGTGCTTAAACTATTGTAGCCCCCAACTTTTTTAATTTGTTTATGTAATTTGGTAGTTACACATGTTCTATCAAAGGGACAAGTTTTAAACTATTTGATATTTCCTTATCCTGACACTTTGGCATAGATAACATGCAATCACAATTACATTGTTTTTACCTCAGTCTTTTTCAGAGCATTTAAAATTCTGTTCAAAGGTTGACATTCCACTTGCCTTGTTTTAGTGCCATTTTTGCGTTATTTTTATAAAGTTACCTCATGAATTATTCATAAACGGAGCAGACGTACCGTAACGAAAGAAAAGAAGGAAAAAAAAGGAAAATCTTTAAGTTTTCTTCCTAGGAAAAGCGCGTTTCTGTCAGGACCATTTCTGGCGTCTGGCAGGATGACTTCCCTAACAAATAGGAAAATCAGATTAAATTATAGGAAAGTTTCTAATTGGTTTGTTATTAAGACAGCGATTACCATAAATTACATTTCAAATAAGTAAGCCATTTAGCGCCCATGCAGCAATTGATGAAGCCGTTTCCGAAATGGCTCCGCAGTTTATCTCAGTTGAGTGAACTAGAGGCCAAAACAAAGCGAAACCCTTGCCTCATGTTTAATGCACTTGACAGGAGCAGACCCACGACCTTTAAGAAAGCCCCAATTTACAGCCCCAAAGTTATGACTTTTACGCCCCATTATCGCTTAAATAATTTAGCCAGCCACGAAAAGGAAAACCGAAAGTCAAAATTGCTGGAAAAACAAGAAAACCTTGCATAACTTATGGCCAACAAAATTAGCGGTGGTGTGAAGAGGACAGGTCCTGCATTTAAAAACAGTCGAATTAACCGCAATTAGATTTTTACAAAAGCGTACAAAAACATGTAATGGAAAAAACCCCCACACTGATTACTGATTACAATTAAGCGGTCCAGTGTGTGGAGTCTGAATAATCAAGTATCTGGAATTAAGTAAGAAATCCACTCGGGTTGCCGAAATTAAAGGACTGCGAAAAGTCCCTTCAAACAATCGACCGACACGGTGGCAAAAGGTAAACATTATTTTTTCATCCGGCCAATTTTGTGCTTTTTAATTAAAATCCTGCGTGCTCAGGTACAGTGTAAACACGCTGACGTTAAAAGGGATAAGTAAAGCAAAAGGTCCGCTAATTAAAAAAATAGAAAGCGGCGCCCTTTAAAGACGCCTTGGATCTCCATCCATCACTCGGTGATGCATGTCCACGAAGTGTGAAAAATTGGGACTCATTTTTAAATAGACCTAAGTCGGCAATGTTCTTTTTTATTTTTTTGAGCTCCAGGGGCCATTGGCACCGCCTGCCATTTATTTGGCTCAGTTCTTGAAATTAATTAAACACTCGCCAGGCGCAAGGTCAAAGGAGGAAATGGTTTCCCCTTAACACAAGGCTAGTGCCAACAATTACGCTTTAGGGGCGGATGTTTGGCCAAGTAAAAAGGGAAACTCTAACTGAAATAGAAAAAGGAAATTTTAACTAACTGAAGGCCGAGAGGCCTTTTGATTTCCGCGTATCAAACGCGTTAAAATTTCACGTTAAATACATTTTCGGGGAACTCCGAGAATTAAATGAAAAAATTAAGTAAATAGTTCTGGGAATATAGATGCAAGACCCCTAAGCACTAAAAATACTTTTCCGGATTTAGGATCAAGCAATTTAAGTCTTAAAGTAAAATATCTCAGCGAAGAGGTACATCATGCAAATGTCAAAGTATAATAAGGTTTTGCTTTGTAAAAGTTATTGACCTCAATATTTTCATTCATAAAAAATTCCATTAAAAAAAGTCCCTTTCATTTTCTTATGGGTATTCGTTTCCTCAAACGAAATGAAGAAAGGCGGCAAGCAGTTGGAGCGCTTAAGCGTGAATGATTTGATTAGTCAATTAACAGTTCATTAGTCGACAATCGACGACACTGTCAACTCTTTAATATCTTCACACTTTGTCACCCAATAATCCAATCTTAAATCATTCCCATGGCCTCCAGCTCGTGTTTGTGGGAGAACGGGGCAAATAAATCGAATATCCATCCGCATGGCCACGCCCACACAATGTCAATGGTGAGCGGCAAAAACAGGGCCGAAATGAGATAGACTGCCGACAGAGACGGACTGGGCCATAAATAAGGATCCGAACAGCCCGGGCCGTGGGACGATGAATTCCGGTGTATTTTTAATGCCACAATTAAATGCAAATACAATACGGCGAGGAAAAAAGATGGAACTCGCAGGCTGACAACACACAGCAGGCAAATGTTGAAGGATGGCCCTGGGACAGCTGAAGGACACCCGGACGGACGGATCTGTTCCCTATCAACAGCTTTTTCCTGCCTTGCCCCCTGCTCCCCTCCCCCTTCACCATTCCATTTTTTCTCTTTTTTTCGCAGCCAGGGAAAATATTTTTGATGCTGACAACAAAAAACACTGCCGAGCAACAGCCTGCGGAAAATATATAGACAAGCGCCACGCCCCCTCAACCAACACCACCGCCCGCCCTCGGCAACAACAATGCGCCAAAGTAGCTGGAAGACAAAGGATGAGAAAAGGAGTGCAGCATAGCCAAAGGTCCTTGCTTGTGGTTGAGCAAAAAATGTGCCATCAACACATACACATACACCCACACACACCACCATATACATCCACACATACACGTACAGCAAGAGAACACAAATGAGTTATTCGCTTAAATTTAATTTCCATTATTTTTATGAAAGCATATTTTAATTCGCTTTATTGGCAATTTTCGTTGGGCAGCAAGAATACCGATATGAAAAAAGGGGATACACAAAATGTTAAGCATCGAATGCCTCCCTCGGGTGGCCGTGGTCGTTAAGTATTTTTAATAATGTGATTTTCCAGAAAAAGAAATTAACGAATGGGGAAACGCTCTGACAGGTCGCAATTAATTTCTTTCATTTAAATGCTGCCTTTATTGGCGCACTTTTGCCTAACAAATTAATTAAAAGGCGCATAAAAACGGTTTAATGATCGGAATCTTGCAGAAAAAGCTCGGTATTTATCCGCGTGCTCTCTCAATTATTTCATCAGCGGTTTCGGCCGAAAGACTGCACAATTAATTGAACTGCCACAAATACCGCGAAGGCTGAAAAAAATACCCGCAATTGCGGCAGCCACACTTTGACACTTTCAGTGAAACACGTTTAAGCAAGGTGAAACAAAAGAACAAACAAAAATATCATGTTTCACTTACTGTGGAGCTGCCATCCCCAACAATTACTAAAACGAATTTCATCCATTTTTTGTGTATCCAACACAGAAAAAAAAACAAAATAAATATGCTTTCCGAGTTTCTTCTCTGACAGTCTGCTTCCGTAGTTTCGGAATGCTTTGTGTACTCTGTTTGCGCCTTAATAAAAACAAAAGACATAAAAAAGGACATTTAAGCTTGGATGGTTTTTTGTGAGAGGCAGCATTCAATCAAAATTGCTGAGGGTTAAGGAAAGGAGTGGAGGACCCTTGGGCAAGCAAACACTTTTTCTTAATTATTCTTTTACTCTCAGTTATGATATTTCCGTCTGTGATTTATAGATTTCTGCAGTTCTCAATGGCTGAAATATTTTGGACATGCAGCCTTCGGCACGAATGGAGTTTGCAGTGGTGGAAACTGTGGGAAAACGTGACTGGTCATCAAAGGAAACTCGCTTATTGCTGGCGGATAACTCGAACCGGAAAATGCAGTCTGAAGGCGTGCGGCATGTGCAGGAAAAGTGAACACAGTATTTCCAACTTACCTGGATCCCAGCTCTTTGGCAATTCCGTTTAATTTCCCCTCGCGCTCGCTCAAATTGCAGTTAATGCAAATGAATGAATATTCCATTAAAAGTCAACTCGACGAAGGCAGGAAAATCGTAGCAACAGGCAGTAGGAGTCTTTAAGCGGCGAAAATGCAAATTGATTTCCCCGCTCTCGCCTTATTGACATAACACGTAAAGCGTCGTGCGGCTTAATTGGGATATTGAATTTGCCCCGCTGCTCGGCGTTTACATAAAATATGCGCTGTTTATTTACAAAGGAAGTCGACTTGACTGCGCAATCCCTCCGCCCACCTAGTCGATGTCGTCCTCCTCGACCAGCGTGGCGTTCGGGTTGCCCAACAGTAGGGCCTCGTTGTGCTGCCTCACGTTGTAGTAGAAGAAGAAGGACTTGCTGTACTCGAAGGTGGCAATCATGATGGCGCAGGCAGGTGCCACCTTCAAAAGCCTTGGTCCGCATCCTGCAAAGAGTCCTTTCACGCCGTGCATCTCGTAAATGGCCGACAGCCTGCTGTAGGTTGATCTCTTGCCAAAATCCCTCGCCGGCGAGTCCGTGAATATAACCCTCTCCCCGAACTCGATCTGCTCGTGCGTCTTCACCACGTCGAAGGGAGTGGTCAGGATGGCGGCCACCGTTCCAGCCAACACGCCAGACAGGAAACTCAAGCTGAACGAGGGCTGCGAACTCTGGCTGAGATTGTGCTTCAGGTACTCGTAGATGGGCCAGTAGATCCCCGAGAAGGGCACGTCCCTCAGGATCGTGGGTCGCAAGCCTCGCCACAATCCCCAGACACCTTGGAGGGCCACCACGTTCCGGACGAACTGCAGCATCTGGGCGTAGGTCTGCCTTTGGGCCTGCATCTTGGTTCTGACCAGCTCAATGGGACTCACCACTGTTACCGCACAAATGCGAGCCGTGACCCCCGACATCATGGGAACCACCGGCGGCAGACCCATTTTCGTGTCCCTGAGGGTGAAAAATACTTAAACAGGAGTTTTAAAAAATATATTTATATTCCTTTAAAATTGCAAATATATCTTAAAATAATATGACAGCATAATGAACAACAAACATTTAAAAACGAATGCTTTAAATATTTTGTTGAAATTGCTACTAAAAAAATCATTTTAATCATTAAATTAATTATATTCTGCATTTCATTTAACATTTTGCTAGATCCAATTTGCAACAGCTAAACCATTAGCATCTATTAAATGCTTTTCTGGTTTTTAAGCTTAATATTTACTAAGGAAAATTAAAAATAAAAGGACTTCACCTAAGAATCAATAGACTTAAAATAAAATAAATGGTTAAGTATGCAAAAATTCTTAATAAGATAAGTAATAAATGTATATATTCGAAATAAAATTTACAATTTTAGATTCAATATCTAATTATCCTCAATTAAAAAAAATGTTTTATACAGCTTAATACTTTTTAGAGACATTATAAAACCAGTTATTTTATAAATAGTGAAGTTCACTTTTGAGACTATGTATCTTAAATTTAATCCCTCGTTAATTTTATGAATAAGTAGTTTTAAGAATAATGAATAAATGGTGTATTACATACCTCTTTCCAATCAGGTGGACAGCTCCATTCCCATTTGCGTGGCGCTCGTACAACTGGAGGTACTTGGCCTTGAACTGCTCGTAGGCCACGAAGTAGATGATGGTGGAGGGCAGGGCGGAGACGAGGGTGGGTCCCAGGCCGGACCACAGGGCACCAATTCCCTCGTACCGACTGATCTTGAGCAGGGCGTCCCAGGTGCTGGTGAACTGGGGTCGCGGCCGGAGACTTCCCATCGCGGCTCCATCGGAACCGCCGGCGAAGAGGTGGTCCATCAGTCCGTTTGAGTAGAAGAAGCACTTGTGCGAGGGCGACTGCTGCGACTGCATCCTGGTCTTGATCACGTCCAGTGGCGTCATGAAGCAGGCGGTGATCATGGCTCCGGCGCAGGCCGAGAGCACCTGCTGCATTGGCCGGATATGGAAGCGGGGATCATTTAGCAGCTTCCGCTGCCTTGACTTTATGTCTTTTACACTCTCATTCCCGTCGCTTCGTCTAGGGATCTCCTCCGAACTGGTTTCACTGGTGGGACCGCCTCCACTTGGTCCACCACCTTCTCTGCCACCTCCTCTACCTTCTCCACCTCCGGCGTTGAAGGGTCTGCCTCTCTGAGGGGCAACACGAGGTCCGCGACCCACCGAAACCTCCGACTCGGCGGGAGGCGCCTCTGCGCTGGACCCACCTGTGTCCTCCTTTGCCATGGCAGCCGTCTCTCTGGAGCTTGAACAGTTGAGCAAGAGTCGGTCTGGTTTCGAAGTAGCATTTATAAATTTACATTTCTGAATTTTACATTATTCGGGGCCAGAAGTGAAGTCTTAGAAATCTGACGTTTTCGGTGGCAACTCTAATGACGGGCAGGTGTGAGAAAGAAATGGGGCTTATAACTTTATAAAAGAAGAGCTTACTCTGTTTTTTTATATCTAGTAATAATTAATTTTTACAAATATTGAACAAATATACAAACAACCTACACACACAAGTATTCAGCACTTAAAATACCAATATATCCAAGTTAAAAATTTAACACTTTAAGAGAATACATTTTAATGAGTAATATTAGTTTATATAGTTTTATATGGATCACTATAAACTCAACTTAAGCTAATTTTGAAAATGGAAGGTCGGTTACTTTTGCTGGATAAACCAAACGTTTCCAACGATTAATGTTTTCATTCAATTATTTTAAAAGACATAAGTTTCTATCCATTCTACTTCATTTTCGGTGATTATAAATTCCATTTGAAATTCCTCTTTATTTATATTATTCGCCATTCCACCGTTAGCTGTTCTTTCCTCACTCCTGCCAAAGCAATTAAAATACTTCTGTGCCAAAGTAAAAAAGCAGCCATTCCGGAATTGTTGTCGCTTCTGCTTTACTTTATTTTTGGCAATTAACATGCAGTACTCTCATTGCTGATGGCATTCGCACCAACTGTATCCGTACTTCCGCCCTCGATTTCCCATCCCCTTCGGTTCGTGGCGCCATTGGAAAAGGGGGGTCGTGTTCATTATGCCAGGAGGATCCACTCTCCCACAGGAGTTTGCACATCCCACATCGACCGCACCTTCAAGTCATCCCGCTTCACAGCTGAAAATGTGTCAAAGGTTTGACGTACTCGTAACGGGTTCGCGGGTTTCAGTTTGCTGTTGAATGGGTCGATTTGGGTTCTGCACTCGAAAAATCATCGAACAAATAAAATAAACAATTACAGTGCAAGAAATTGATTCAAATTGGAAATGCAGATTACTGTTCTTAATAATACTCGCCTATAATATTAATTATTCAGTTAACGATTTCCTCAACTTTAAATGGTATTCAATGGGTTTGTAAAGTATATATATTTTTTCATATTAATATTTCTTATATTGCTTAAAGTGTGAATATGTGCAAACCGAGTTGGCTTTTGGCGTAAAAAATAATTGATGTCAAAATGATGCCACCAGACTGATGCTTGTGTGCATCTGACACAAGTGCCACAACCTGTCGCCAGTTTATTTCCTTTCCCATTAATGCACAGAACAAAATATATATGAACAAAATAATTTTTAATCGTCTGTTTTAATGAATATAGATTAAGATGTTTGTCATACTCAAACATAATTCTTTTATACTCTTTTTTTGAAAGCTTGTGCCAACTTCTTTATTTCATTTTACATTTTTAAGAAAAAATATCACAGAAGCTTGGATCTTGTGATTATCTCTTAAGCAGATTACAGATTATTTTAAATTCAATTTTGTTTTATTTTCTTGAGTGGGTTAAGTTGTTTTCTCAATCCTTCCTTAGTGGCAGCAAGGCCAAGCCGAAGACAAGCAAAACAAGAGGAGTTTGGAAGGACACGTTGTAGCGCTTCTGAAAAACACGGGAAAACACTCGCTGAAGAACAATTTGGTTTATGGTAGGAGGCGGTGATTGCCGGAATGTTACCCTAATATGACTACCTTGCTACATAAGTTTCTTGCATGGCCACGACGAAAAATAAAAATGAGTAGTTACCTACTACAGAAAATTCTAAGTACGAATAGGCCATACTACCATACTAAATCTAATTCTATATACAAACTTTTAATTTCAAATATATAAATATTAAATATAAACTCGATGCATTTTTTTGGTTTACCTATTTAAAGTATTTGTTCTATAATTAAACTATTTTTAAAAACTCATTGTTAATGCTGTATATTCAGAAGAGTGTTCGGAATTTTTACTTATGAGAATTATAAAACATAAAAATGCTAAGTATTTCTTCACTATTTTTTTTTTTTGGTAGTCTCAGGAAAAATTACTTGTAAAGCAACAAGCCTCAAAGTGCAAAAGCGATTCTGCAAAACATATTGTGTACAAACAGCATCACAATGAAAACGCTTTACAAAAAATCGTTCTGGGGTGGCCATAACTTTTGGCCAACTTCCAAGAGCTTCTGAAAGAGTATAAAACTGTTCGCTGTGGAGAGAATGGGAAGGTGAGTTGGCGGTTCTGCAGGTAAGTCTTCAGCGAAATATGCCAACATGCACATGACATACTAACTAGCGCTGCTTTGCATCGCCTAACATGTTCCCCCCTTTCAAGTTCCTCTCTCGGCCAAGTTCCCTTCCCGGAATCTCATTCGGCTGCGTGACAACGTACCCGTCATCACATCACACGCAGACTTTGTCTTACAGTTATGACTGGCGTTGCTATTTGGAATTCGACACGTACGCGGGCATCCCAGGACACGTAGGACGGTGTAATCCCGGAGTGGGGATGTTCCATGGGCGTTGGAAGCCAGAGGAAAGGGGGTTGCAGGGGGAAGGGGGAGGGGAAGCAGGTGCCGGTGTCGATTTTGACACGTTGCCAGCGTGTGGGAGCTGGTAATTGCGGTGTAAAACTGTAGAATAACAGCACTTAGCTGGCTGCTAATACGAGCACGTGTCTGCTTTGTTGCACAACACGGCGTATGCGCAATATCCAGTCCTCGTTGCGAATCAATATTAAAAACTGCACTCAAAACGCAAACACAATCGAGATGAACTCGTTAGGCTTTCAATTTGCCATTAGCATGCTCGTTTAATTACGAGTTTCTGCTGTTAATCAACTTCCCAAGTCATTTGTCGATTGAAATTAGAGAAACATTTGTCGGGAATATTCTCCATTGGCAGCATCTGGGCAAACAGATAATCATTATAATCAGCTTAGGGATTGGGAGGATTTCCATTAAGTGCTGCCAGTTCATATGCATATTTTTATTTAATTAAAGTCGAGGGTAAACAGCAAAGGAATGTTGACAAGCGCCGGTGGAAAGCAATTGAAAGAACTTCCACGGGTGGATTCGACATATGGCGAGTCAAGGAAAATTCACAGAAACCGAAAGTCACAAAGGCCAAAAAAAGGAAAAGGACTAAGGGAAAGCGAGGCAAGACAAGGAGAAAATGTGGCACGCGGCATTCACCGCACAATTCCATTACGTAAAGCAAACATCAGATGGCGAATTCTGCGCTGCATGATTGGGTTTGCTGCTCCTTGCGGCTCCCCTTCCCATTTTCTCCCTTTCCCAACCGCTCTTCCCATGTGGGCGTGGCGCCAGTAAAAGCAACATATTGAATATTGATGCGCATCGATTTCGACTTGAAAGCGGGAAAAGTTCAAGCCAGCAACCCACACACACGCACGCATGCTCTTTGTTTATAATAAAAACATTTGCAATTTCTTGCAGCCACGCATTCACCAGCTTTCAACACTGTGCAACAGGGTTCAAGTCAAATTCGTACGATGCGTAATAAAAAGTAAACTTGGTTTTAAAAAACAATATAGTTTAGTAATAATATAATAATATTAAGGGGGTCAACAAAAGTTACATTTATTCTGCTAGTATGAATACATGTACATTCTTTACACTTTCTCCAGTTTTAAAATACAATTTTTTGTTCAATATAATATATTTTTGATTAAACATGTCGGTCCTATATTTATTCGAATGTAGGGTGTGTAATGGTCTACCAATAGACAACTTAAATAAATAATTCGAAACTCAGAAAATTGTAAAATTGAAATTTGGGTCAAGCTGGGGTGGAATAAAATAAATACATATTTCAGTAAAACCTCCACCTCAATTTAGCAACATGCTAAAAAACAGATGCTGTGAAAAAGTGATCGTTAGAAAATAGAACTTTACCCGCATACGCTAACTGGAAGTTTATATTTTCTTTTAATGCTTAAATAAACTTTCAACCGTATTTTCATTATAAGCTCTGCAATTGAACTTTTATGTCTTTCTCGACTTTAATGGAGATACTTCGATGCGGGTCAAAGTTTCGACAGGCGAGTGTAAGTGCACTCAGCGCAGTTAACTGGCTGCGGCGTCGGAGAAGCAATTTGTGAACGCTCGTCGAGCATTTAAAACAATTGGTGCCAAACAATTACGCGGAGGGTGCTTTTCCGCGGAAAACTGGGGGACGCAGTGCGTGGAAGGAAGCCAAAGAGTTCCTCGCCAAATTAGCGACAAATGTGTGGCGGCGAGGGGGGCGTGGCAGGAGGGGGGACTAGGGGCGGGGCGGGGCAGACAACGACCCAAATTGCAAATTGCAACAAACTTGAACCAAAGTGGGGCAACGATGGCGACAACGAGCGCGACGATGGCCGCTTTGTCTGCGCAAGTTGGTAATAAGCAAATTAAATGCCAAGGGAACGCGGCCCGGCAAAGTAGGCAACAATAAAAATCCAGCAACTGCCAATGCGAACGGAGTGACTTGGCGCATTAACACCCCGATGACGCCACATGCCGCCAGCAGCCACCAGCAGCCACATGCAGCCGAAGCGCAATATCATGGGCGTTAATTGCCACTCAATTTATGGGGCAGGGAAGGAGGGGGTGTGGCATGGAAAAGAGCTCTTTGGCCAAGCTCGGTTGTCCCGCACGACCCTACTTAAAGTAGCAATTAGGGCCAAAATAGTTCTGATAAATCTAAAAAGTATTGCGTTATAATATGTTGGTAATACCAGTACACAATAGCTCGTATTATTTTTTTTTAATAAGCTCTTACGTTTGACAGCATTCCATTCATTGATACTAAAACCCTTTTTAAAAAAATACAGCCTTTATACTGTGGTTCCTCTACTTATTTTATATTTGTGGTAAATTTTTTAATTTTTTAATAAAAACAAGCTTAAAAAATGGCAATGTGGCTTGTTTATTATAAAAAAAGGAGTTTTTTTTATAAATGTTTTACTTATTTTTCACGTTAATTAATTTATTATAAAAGCATGATAATGATTTTTTATTAAATAACCAAACGTATGTCATATTTTAGTTGTATTTTTTTAAAAAGGCTTAATTTTTTCCACAGTTATATGCTGCAAGTCACGTTCTATAAAGTTTTCTGCGCTTTTCTACACTTTTATTTACTTTTAAAGGATCTTTGCGCAGTTTCCCTTAAGCCCTCACAATGTTTTTTCCTTGTAATTGCAGTTTTGCTTTTCTAGGAAAAATATTTATGATATAAAAGAAGCGAGAGCAAAAATATGAGAACAACAAAAGTCATAACGTACATATATAAATAAAATGCGCTCTTCCATAAATCTCATACGTGAGAGTGTCCATGTGGGCGATGGTGTTTGTGCGAAGGGGGATTTCGGTTGGTGCGTGCTGACTTGCCAAAGATCCTGGCTGAACAGCAGAGCAGAAGCAGCACAGCTTTCCTTTCTGAAATTTATAAATTTAATAAAGGGAAAACTATGGAGGATGTACATGCAAATGGGCACTTGTTTACATTTAAGCTCTGTGCAATGTGCTCCTGCAGATAAAAAGGCATTTGTGATATGCGCCGAATTTTATTTATTTAAATTTGTTTCTGATATTTGAAATGGGCGGTCTTCCTCGCCGAATTGCATTTGTTTACTCACCTCAGCGAACGCGCGAATAAAAATATACATATAAATGGAATCACTATTCAAAACTCATTAACATATTTAAACATGTTTAGGACGCAACCTCTTTTGTTTTAGTGCTGGCCTTTTGCACTTGGCCAATTTAAATCAATTGCTGAAAGTTATTTTAGGACAACGAAATTTTACGTCCCATTGAACTCTCGACCGCAGAACAAACAAACAAACAATAGATACGTTTAATTAAAAAAAATAATTGTACTGAAGGGCAATCGCAACAAAAAATGTATAAAATTAAATATTTATATTATTATTATTTTGCCCCGTGTAGACCTTTTTCTGTTTATTTGCAAATTTATATTCATTGAGGTTTTCGATGCGAATAATTTGCATTTAACACATGCGCACACGCATACGAATTTAACCGCAAAATTAATTTAATTCTCGTTGCACGAAATTATCAACCAGCAAATCCGGTTATGCACTTGATGTCCTAAATGAATTTTGTTATTGTTGCTGTTCTTATTTTCAGTTGTCTAGTCGGCAAAAACAATTAGTTTAACGTTTTCAGTTTGTTTAGAAAACTTAATTTTGGATGCAATTTCGGCAAAATTAATACACGCCTAAAATAATACTTGTAATAAATTTTTTCTGCAAATTGTTTTGTACATTTTCCTTATGCCAGCGTTTGTGACTAGAAATACGCTAATAAAACATTGCATATCCTAGTTTAAGTCTAAACAATTTTCCTAATTCCTAACTTAAACAAATTCTATCAACTTTAATAGTTACAGCAACCGCTCAAATTATTCAGTATTATTTTAAAGAAATTTGGGGCCACTAAACTACAATAATTGTTGGGCATTAAATGATTTACCATTGTTCATTTAAGCATGTAGCTGTGTAATTTGGCACCTATTAAATTATTAAAATTTTCATTATAAAGTCAAACAAACGAAATGAATGAAAAAGGGGGAAATAAAGAAACATAATTTGCATATTTGCTGACGCTGTTTTTGTTTCTGTTTGCATTCAAATTGCTGGTCGGGACTCGTTTGTTCGTATTTGCATTGTTGGGGAATGTTTAACCAGTTTATTGTTCAAGGCTATTGAATTGAGGACCTGTGTCCAGTTGCCATGTGGCAAATGCAACTGTAGAGCTTGTGAATAATCGTATTATAGTCATAAAACATAAAAAAATGACAATAATAAAGTACATTAATTAGTCATGAAGCACTTAAGCTGTGTAATTACAATCGCAAAATCTTGCGCAATTAAAATTCGTTGTATATCACATTTCTTTTATATTAGCTGTGTCACTCTCAATTAGCTTCAATTAAAAAAGATTAAATATGTACGCAATAATCCGTTTCGTATCCAATTTGAATTTAAGCCGATAAAAACGGAAAGCGAAATATTTTGTGTTTGCTCGTGGCCTTCCTGTCATAACTTTGCATTTGTCTCGCTCAAATTCCTGACATTCCTTCGTCCTTCCCAGCCTCCTCCACTTAACCAGAATCTAGGGAAGTCCCTGAACAGTAAATCAAATCAGAGACCAGAACGACGCTATACCAGTATTAATGCATGAATCGTTCTGTGAAAGTCGCCCCCAGTACTTGTCCTTATATTCTCGTTATTTACGACTAACCCGCCCTCTACATATTTGCCTTTAATATACTCTTGAGTTACTCTAATTTGTGGTTGTCAGCAAATTTTGGACTACAGTCCTGCTGGGTAAATCTGCTTGGGGAATTTAATTTTTCCTATTTCTGTTTTGGTTTTGCTTCTGTCTGAGTTGCCAGGATACTCTGATTTGTTGGGCTAAACTATTTGGCTTTGAGGTTTTGCGTAGTTGTTTATGAATTATTCAAAATGGGGAAACCAAGACAGGACATGAAGTGTATAAAATTGATTCGAATGCTTAATATTTAATGGGGTATAAGTGTTTTTTCGAATTCCGAAAAGTCATTAAGAATAGACAGCAGATTTGTTGCTTTTCAATTGCCAATTTTGTTTGCAGAAATTCCATTACACGCATATCAAACTAACAAACTTCCATTTAGTACTTTGCAACTCGCCACAAAACTTGGGTTGAGTTTATTCAATTCAAGTACCATTTTGAACACTTTGCACTTCACAGCCAGAACTGAAAGACTGGGCAGCAGGAATTTCTCCCGGCGAAAGAAAACACCAACGATACATGGGGGAAAAGAATAAAGTTGAGCAAAGAAACGCCCGAGGAAAATTACGAAAAACTAGCCACAGCACTCTGATAGATAGGCACGGAAAGCAGATGGACAACTGGGAAAACCGAGCATCATGTTTTCCTTTGAGTGGAGGGCAAATGTGGACACATTCTGCAGCATCCATTCATATCAGGTTGCTCAGGCAGTCATTATATCAATTTATGAGCTTCAACTTGATCAAAGGACTCTGATAGAGCTGTTCTTACAGGGTCCTTTCTCTTCTCAATTAATTGATTCCGGCAGGGTATTTTCTCATAATTAAGGGTCTTTGTCAACAAAATTAGCGCCAACAAAAATGCAAAACGGAATGGTAAGAACAATCCATTGGGTCAAACAATTTAATTATGAATTTTTAGGGGCGCTCCGGGGGGAAAACACTTTTGTTAGTCCTGTTTATGACGGAGATTTTCAATTTCACCCGTAGCTCAGGACGAACTTTCAGCTTAACCTGCGTGAGAATCAACAACAACTCGAAGAAAGACCATTTGCATAAGGGGCCAACGCAGAAACGACACAATAACTCAATTCGCAGCACAAAACCGAGGAAAAAAGCCAAAATCAAATGCCCCACAAAGGGAATAAGGCATAAAACCGGCGCAGAAACTTTTCTGCCAAGGCAGTAAATCCTGCAGGATATGGCCCAAAGCTTAGCAACAAAACGCACAACTATTCCTCGGCGTCGAGGGGAGCGACAACTTTGATGTCCTGGCCGGGAGGAGATCCAAACTCTGGCAACTGGAGAAGAGTTAACAACTATGCACGAAACGCCAAATATTTGAAATATGTGTAGCAACAGAAATGTTGACATTTGAACTGATTTCCAGGCGGTATCCCCAGCTCTCAATTTTATCTTCCTACCAAACACTTGGAGAAAATTGTGTCATTTTGCTTTCAAAATAATCTTGACTACTAGGACATTAGGGCTAAAATATATTATCAAATGTGAAATACAAACCACAAATATTTAAGCAACATTTTCTGATAATTTGTACTTTCCCGTGTTATATTTACCCTCTTACAAATAGCATAATGGAACTAATTTTGAAAAAGTGTTTCTGTACCTTTAATTTTGAAGCTTTAAGAGATAACATTTTCTGAAATGTTGGAGCAGGGTGATTTTCCTTGTCATGGGTTCACTTTTTCCGAGTGATGTAACAGGCGAAATGTTGTGGCAAATTAAGTTGGCGGCAGTGCGAAATTGCTTTGCCCGGGGAGTATTGGCAACCAAAATGATAGAGAAAACAGAGGCAGAAACATAAAAGAGGAGAATACATGGTCGTAAGTAGCTTTTGTTTGGTAAATTGGCGGCAACAATAGTTGACACAACTTCTGGTGAGCGAGTGGCGAAATCCAAGGCATTGTTATTGGCAATTTCAGCTGCAGCTATTTTTGCTGTCGGTTGTCAGGGGAATAAATGTAAAATCAGCCACATACAAAATGCTTTCATTGTGTTATTTTTTATTTCACTATATTTCTGAGCATATCTATATGTGCGTATGGTGGCTTATGGTTAACGTAATTTACATTAAAGAGAATACAAACATTTATCTTATAATACTCGTTATTGGGATTGTGGTGAACTCTAAAGTATTTTCTTGAGTTCCATGTTTTCTTTGGCGTTTTATGGCTATTTTCTGTAATGGTAGTCTAAATATTTTCAAGTGCTTAAAACTGGTTGCAATGATGCCTTCTTATTTAAGGTTCTATTTTAAATACTGTGACTTAAATTGTCTAACTTTGATTAAAGTTCAAAGGAGGAGAAATAATGTGTTTTTCCTGTGAAACTTGTGTCTCTATTCCTCTTTTTTTTTTTTTGGTTATACACCTTTATTATTATTTTTTAATCTGAAATGTTACATTTTTATTTCCTTTGTTGTATATACAAGCCATAATTTAATAATTAAATGATCAATATAAATCCGACAATTATTACTAAATAAACAAAATCAAGAACTTAATATTTAAGCTAACTGAAGTTCAAGATGCATGAATATCCAACTAATATGATTTGTAATTACTTCCAGGCAACTGGTTAAAGCGACTTTATCTATGTTTTATTAGGTTGAAAACAAGTTTGCCTCACGGGAATCGCTGCTTATATCGATACGGCGAAGCATCGCTGCAATCTCCAAGGAAACCTTCTCTGCAATTTTCCTAACTAATTTACGCCGGCAGAAACTTTCCACGCAGAAAAGTCAGAGGACCAGCAGTCGGAGCTCTAACCACGAGCAATGCCGCCGAGTCAAAGATAAACTTTACACCAAAATGTATTATTAAATTTTACGCAGGCTCCATAAAATTCCGGACTTGGGTGAAACCAGAGAGATGGCCTGGCTTGGGATGCCGACAACCAATGGAGAGGACTTGGCAGGCAGCTGTCTGTCGCCGCATTGCGGGCCCGGCGGGAAGTCCTTCAGGACTTCTTGGCAGCCGCTCCCTGGCGCTCCTATATATTGGTCGTAATACTTCTCCCCGGCGACGGCTGGAACTGCTGGAGCTCGGTGCGCACGGTGCCAGTGGACGAGGAGGAGGACGAGTCGGTGGTCGAGGCATTGGAAGCCGACGAACCCGATGATATTGTGGAATCGGTTCGCTGCTGGCATCCCAAAGGATTTGTGGTGGTGTCGGTCGTGTTCGTTGTTGTTGTTGCAGCTAAAGCTGTTATAGCTGTTTGCAAATCCTTGCCGGAAGCCTGACGCTGCAATTGAGGAATGCGGCTGGCCGGCGTGGTCGGGGATGAGGCTCCGGGAGATTCCCCACAACCAGCTGCAGCTGCAGCTCCTGGCGGGGATTCGCCCAGCTTTACAGCTCGTGGTATAAGCGATGTCCTCGAGGGCGACTTAATGGGCTGCGCGTACAAATCGCCATTGGGCGCCGACCAGCTGCCGCTCACGGGAGCGGGCTTAATTGCGTAAATGCACTCGGTCCGCTCGCCCTGAGGGGGCGTGGTCTCGTGGGCCGGCGGCACGGACTCGAAGGACTGAAAGGATCCGCTGAGCGAGGATTTTGCCGGTGCCTCGGGCACTCTCTTCACTCGCTTCAGACTGCTGGCCGGCGATTTGGGCACAATGGGTCCCACGATGAGGGTGTTCTGCGAGATCTGCGGCTCCCTGAGCTCCTCCTCCTCGGCTCCGCAGTCCCTGGCCACCTGGAGTGGCGAAGTGGTTATGTTGCTGCTGTCCCTCCGCCTCCTGCCCAAGGTATTGCTTATGGTTCGCGGAGGAGGAAGGGGAGCGCTGAAGTTCTGCGGCGGCAGGGAGTTCCGCTTGTAACTGGTGCTCATTGGATCCTGTTCCGTGGGCAGGACCTTCGGGTAGTTGCGCTGCCGCAGGAGTTCCAATTGCTGTGCAGCTGTCAAAGGGATGACTTCCATGCCATCGGAATCCTCTCTACTGGTTACATTGATATCCACGTCGTCGGCGTGCACAAAACTGGTGACCTGCTCATCGGCAGCCAGGATCATGTCCACAGGATCCGAGTGGGAGTGCGAGTGATTCCTGAAGGGATACTGCTGCTGGAGGACATCATCACAGGGTTCGGTCAAAGCTGAGTGTTGTCTCTGGAGTAACATCTCGTAGTGCTGCGGTTCATGGATATTTTGTGGGATGAGTAGAGCTGCATCGGCCACCTCGATGTCCTGGCAGATTATGAGCCTGCCATCCGATAGAATCGGTTGAGGAGGAGGCGTGGCCGTGTTGAAACTACCCGACTTTGGGGCCTCCTGATTCGACATCCATTCACAGACCTTCGTGTGGGTGTCCACTGTGGAGCAGCTGAGCGATCTCTGACCAGTTTTGATGGCCTCGTAGGTGTTCGACTTCCTGGTCATTTCCAAGACGAAGCTATCGTCTCCATCGCGGGACTTGCTGCACCGCTTCAGCTCCTCATCGTTGGCGCCATCGTAACTTAGGATGGTGCCCCCTAATTTGGGAGCAGGAAATGGCAAAGCCTTCGCCCTCCGACGACGTTGCCTCAAGAGGAAGGTTCCGTAAATCAGTAGATTAAGAGCTATTATAATGGCTATTAGAGCAATCAAGAGGTGCATCGTGGCCTCTGACTTGGCCACCGTTTCAGGTGGAGACTGCTGCTGATCCTCTTCGCTTTCCAAGGGATTCGTAGAGGTCACCAGGTCCTCGAAGTCACTGCCACCCTGCATCTTGTGCACATGGCCAAAAGTGGGCGGGGCATTGTACATATTCTCCGCCGCCGTTTCCGTGGATTCGCCACTCTGATTAGGACCTGCCAAGCTGGGTTCCTGAAGAAGCAGCTTGAGTGTCCTCACGGGGTCCTCCCCTCCGTGGTCCCTTGGCCCGTACTTGCTCATGTGACCCGTAATCACCTCTTGATGGGGGAAGTGCATCTGCTCCTGAATGGCAGCAATCTGATTCAGCTCGTCGGGGAGTTCCTTGTTCCAGAAATTCATGTAGATCTGGCGGTATTTATAACCCACTGTGGGGGGAATGCCTGTAGAAAAAAATGTATAATAAAATATTTAAATAAAATATAAAACTTTTAAATACAAAAAGCCTTTAATAATGTTGATAATCGCTTGGGATTATTTATTCAAACAATGAAAATCCTTGATTTAAACATTTATTTGACTTAAAATTATAACTGAAATCACTTACCAATATTCAAGTACGCCTGAGCCCTCCTATTGAATTCCGGCCAGTCCAGATCATAACGATCCCACTCGAGGGCATGGGAATTAAGGAAGATCCCCTTCCATGGAGCCTTGGGATTACTGAAAAAACATCAAGGCATTAAGAACTCGAGCCAACGGATGTGTTATCGTCTAGTTCACATTCACATCCCCCCTCTTGCCCAGAAATGACTCTCATTTTATCGACATAATCCGGCCATTCATTTGCTCATTTAAATGACTTGGTTATGGCCACTAACCACACTCGCCGGCAGCCAAATGCCGAAACGTCCTGCTAACGATCTCTGATTTCAGTTTTGATTGCCGCACCCATTTCCATTTTTTCGCCAGCCTTTTTTATCCCAGAGCGGCGGCCACTTCAACTAATAATATTTGCATGTGCCGCCACCCGATCCGGTTGCTGTGGAATAATAATAAAAGCGGCACTAAAAATTCTATTCATTTCGCTGTCCAAGCGTTGCAGATTGCAAAACGTGCCGCAGTCGAAGGGAAAGCCAATGCCAAACCAAAGCTAAGAGTCGTAGCCATTGAAAAACTCATGAATATCCCACACAGCATCCGCATTCGCCATCCGCATTCGCATCCGCATCCGCATTTGCATGCAGCACTGTGACTCTTCGTGTTGATGTTGATGGCCCTCCCAGTTTTACATTCCTCACCCACTTGCACTCGCAACTCCCTTCTAACTTTCTTCAAATGCACTTTTCACATCCGCTTTTGGCCGCAAGTCCAGCAGCCAGTACTCAACTCACCCAGTCTTTACGAAATTCGTCCAATATGCCATTACCGCCTCGGAAAGCAGCTTTTCCTGCACCGTATAGTTTCCACTGGGAAAAGGACCTGCGGGAGCCAGAGGAGCCCCGAAGATAAACGCCAATTCCTCGCCCATAATGCTATGCGGTAACTGCAAGTGAAATATATATGTATTGCCAAGTGCTCGGTGTGGGTCAAGCCGGTGAGGGAATACTCTAAAAAGCAGGCTATTAACTTAGGAAGGGAAGCTATAAATTATAAAGCATAAGTTGGGGACGGCAGAACGGAAATGCCATTAAAGTTTGGGTATTACAAAGAAATCAATAGTTGGGAAAAATTAAAGACTAACTTATACATATTAAAGGATTTATAATCAGATAAGACAGGGTTTTCCTAAAGAAGATCTTTTTGGTTATAACGTGAAATCCCAACACAAAGATTAAAACATTTTTAATTTTCAATCGTTTCTTCTATAAATGAATACTCATATAATAGTAAACTTTTGAATAAAAAAGTTTTAAGTTAACCAAAACAAAGCACACCAGATGCTATTGAAAACCTTACTAATGGTAGTGAAGGCTTTGTTCCTTTGATTCCAAAAACAAGACCCTAAATTTTATTAGCATCGACCCTAGAAAAAGATTGATTTAGGACTGAAAATCTCATAATGCTTTCAACCTTCATCACGAAGTTTATATACCTCCAAGCAAAATTTAATGCGGTTAGGAACTTGGTGACTCGCAGATCGGTGTGAAATGTTTTCAGCAGTATTTTAACGGCTTTTTTTTGGCCATTGTGACCAACCGGCATCAATCTTCTCAGACGGCCTGCATAAATATTTAGCTAGCCGAAGACAGGCCAAAAACGTGAGAGGGCCAACGAGGAGAGAAGAAGGGACCGCCGGAGGGAGTCGCTGAATGTAAGTAGGTAATAAAGCCAAGTTTTTATTGTTGCCATGAAAAATGTAACAAAGTCACAAAGCATTTCTGTCTGAGCACATCAAAATGGCACTGTCCTGGAGCTGCTGACTGTTCTTTTGGTCCTCGGACGATGTCCTCTCCGCCGCTGAAATCTTTTATGGCATTTATGAATGATGAATTTCGCCTTTGATTTTCATTTTGCAATTGGGTGAGAATTTGATGAAACGAGCCAGCGGAATTCAATATTGCTCCTCAATGGCAAGGCTTAGTCTAAGCTCTTTGTTAAGCATTCTGCGATGAATACACGGTTCAATAGCCTTCTAACGAAATCAAAGCGGGTCTTTAAGATTTTTTACGATTGCAATTGAATCGGCAGGCTGACGTAAATATGTTTATTTTTACGGTTAACATTTTGTTGACATGCCAGAAAAGCAAACAGAGGAATATTTTCGAATCAATCAAATGGAGTGTTTGCTAACGGCAATATTTTTTTTATTTTTTTTAGCGGCCGAACAATGTGAATTTCCATCACTTTACATATTGCTAAAAACGATAACATAAAATCTAACTTTTGAATAAAACACTTCCGTTTAAATCTGTTCGATCGAAATTAGCACACAAAGCGAATGCATAATTAAAGCGTTCAGAAATTGGACGAACATTATTAATGTATTTATACAACTGGCGAAACGTGGGCACTTCCTGTAACAAATTATCTTTATTGGCCGGCCAGCGATTCGTGCTTTAAAGTTACAAATAAAAAATTACCGGAGCGTAGGCGGAAATTCAATTTGGAATAAATGCGTAACTTTTGAAATTTATGCCCCTCCGTTTTGCCCACTCTTAAGTTGCCGCTTTGTGCCCACGGCAACGGAAGCAACAATTTGACTTAGCGCCATTTGTCGTAATAAACCTAATGGAGTTAATGGCACTCGCAGCGTGTAAAATTTCCAAAAATATTTCCCCGAATCGGGTTTTTGTTGGCACTGAGGATAGGAAACCTGCGGCAATTGCCTGGGCGTTAATTTGGAAAGAGGTCGGCAATTCCCTCACACAATTTGCTCTCATCTTTTTATCATTTTATTGGATTACACAAGAGTTGTCAAGGCTGGGACTCTTTAATTCTGTATTTTTGTTTCTCGGTAATTAAATTCTTTTCGCTCACAGAAATTTCGACAAAAAGTATGATGTACATTAAGCATAACCGGCACGTTTTTCAGTATTTGCCATACACTCGAGTTGCCGAAACCTTTTTGCGGACTGCGGTCGCAAAAACTTTCAACCACGCACAAAAATAAAACTTTAGTTTCGGTCATATTTATTTTATTTTCATAAATTTCTTTCCTTCCTCAACCACTTCGCAGTCTTATCAGAAGGGGAAAGTCGGGGCAAGAGGGACTGCCCAAATAGTCGAGGAAAAAACTTTGGCAAGAAAAAAGCGACCGACCAGACGGGACATACTTCAAATGTTTTTTATTGTGGGGGTTTTTGCGGAAAATTCTTGGGATGCTGACCGCGTTTAGAATGCGATGATAATGACGTTTGTCCACGTGGGTCTATGTGGGCCTTGGCAGTAAGGAAAATGATAAATTTAATATGGAAAACTTATTAAACTGTCCTCAAGCCGAAGTCGTTTTCATCTCTTTTCCCTCGATTATGCCCAAATAAATTGGAACTTGTTTTGCCAAAGTTTTCGACTCGCTGAGTTTATTGCTCAGCCTGGGAAATTAGAAGAGAAGAATAGAAAAAACCTCCAGAGCAGCAATTCTGTCCAATCCCCATGTTGTTTATTTGTGTGCGCATTTTGCGTTTTGTCTTCGGGATTAAATTCAATTAGGCCGTACTTTGCGCACAATTCCCACTCTGACAGCAATGTTTGTTCTTTAACAGGGATCCCGCCTTTTGGTGAATTTAAAAGGGATCAAGTCTTTGGTTGGTTCTTTGGCTGTCAAGTGTAGCGAAAAAAGGGTATCCTGTTTGCTCTTTTTCTTTTTATCATTAAATTGCGTATCTTTAAAATTTGCCTTATACCATTTAGAAATTCCATAACTGTTCTTGAATTTGTATACAAAATACATTAAAAGATGCATAAAAAGTTCTTCAATTTCATAATAAGTATGCAAATAGATAGAACAATAATATGTTATGCAAAGATATTTGTTACATTTATATTCTCTGCCACTGTTTTCCATAGAAATATCCAGGCCGGTTTTGCTACGCCTTCGCTGGGATTAAGTCTATTAAGCCCTACTTTAAGCGGAATCCCAATTTCGCTGGAATTAACTATGCTTAGAATAATTTTCGCTATTTTTAACAATTGCCTTGAGGCGAAGCCTCGTCTCCGCGGAATGGACGGACACTTCAAGCCGAGTACGTAAGTAGTCTCTTTGGCCCGTTTTGAGGCTGAGGCAAACAGGCAAGACATGTGCCAAAAAGTTTCACAATAAGCCCGCGGCCCAAGGCAGATAGTCAAACAATTTTGGGCGGTGGCAGGGAGGCGGAGACGGGGGCGGGGGATTTTGCTGAGTGGGCGTGGTCCAAGTGAGTGGCTGACGCTTGAGATGGAGTGCAGAAGCGCAGTTTATGCACAAATTCATTCGCATTCAGTCGAGTTCTCTTGTCCTCGTCCCTGACAAACTGAGGATGCGGGAACTCAGAGAAAGACGTTGGTATAAATAAAATAAGAGCCAGAATGTTGTGCTATTGTGTGGGCCTTAAGTTGTCTTTCTGTTTTCCTGTCTGCTCCCCCAAAGAAAAAAAAAGCGAACAGAACAGAACAGAAAACGAGTAGGTCGCGTTGGCGACAGCCAGCGATAATTTGTAGGCACGCCCGAATATCCTTGGGATCCGCTTTTCATGTTTAAGGCTTCAGAGCAGCATGAAATATTTAAGTGAATTTTATTCTCGCAATTTATTCGCAACTAATGCGATGCCTGGCTGCTGAACCCGGCCATATATCAAGGGCATAAACATGCTCTTTTGTGTGATTTGGCTACTCTCAGTCGATGGCAAACGCCGGCAATTTATCAGACTTATTTTCATACTTTAATTGCGGGCTATTAAAAAGTTGTTGCACCCCGCTTACCGCAAGCTGTTGTCGCATTTCGAGCTGTTCATCTATTTGCAGTTGCAGTTTGTTTTATGGCCAACTGCTCCGCAACTACGCCATAAAAATTCGCTTAGCGCGAGGCTAAAAGTTGGCAAAAATATAATACGAAATAATAACTTTCCGCTGGGCGGAGGGAGTGTCTCTTTTGTTTTGGATCCCTGTTTGAGTTGTTTTCAAATTCATTATTTCTCTATGGGTTGTTTGTGGAAGTTTAGTCTCCGTCTGCTGAGCAATTTGTGTTTTGCCAACGCTTTTCTCTCCGAGTTTCTAGACGAAGTTCCAAGGACCCTAACTAAAAGGAAAGTCGGTGCGAAGATGAAAGGATTCCCTGCGAATGTTTATTCAATGCGTGCGGACTCCCTATTTGCCTATCAATCCAATCATCTCAATTACAAATCAATATGCCCATTTCACTGTAGAGTAACGGAGGTCCGAGGCCAAGACAGCTTCATGGCAACACAAAGCTATCTCTGCGAGGCAATCAGTAACAAATCCATAAGCATGACAAAGCCATAAAAACCAAGTCGGAGGGACAAGGACACAGATAACCATAACCATAGCCGGTCTGCAGCCCCGCCCCTCGAAAGTGACCCGTCCTCGGAGTCAGATGAACCCGGAGTCAAGAGGATGCCGTCTGCTTAGCCAAAGGACACAGCTTTTCTTTTCTTTGCTAACCATGTTTTTGTTTTGGATTTGAACGCCTTCTTCTTTTTGGCTGCACAGGGAAAATGGAAAACCAAAAAAAAGTCGGTCAATGAACCAATGGAAATTATCATGTGTTTGACATGAGATTATTAATTGAAAAAGTTTCTCTGTAATTTTCCCTTGCTTTTAAAATCACAATTTAATAAGTCAATGCCTTATGGAAACTGTATAGATGAATTGATTTCTAGGAAATGACTTTAAAACTTATTAGAAAGAACAAATATTTCCCCTGGTGTACTGGCTCTAATAATTCTTTGCGTGGGTTTTTAGCCATTGCTGTTGCTTTGGGGTTCAATGGCTTCAATACAATCATTTCCCATCGGCAGCTGCAAACTTGTGAATTGTTTTGGCCAAAAAGCCGAAAACAAGCACCGCCATCCAGTGATGAAGTGAACTGAATGGTTCAGTGCCACAAACTTTTCAGCATTATTGTTCCATTATTGGACGGGAGCAGTTGGGAGCGGAAGGGGGACTGGAGTACATTATGGAAACTCATTAGATGCCAACTCATGCTGGGTGTATTTTCAACGGATCGCGGGCGTTTAATTTAAATGCGCTGTAGAGTGCGTAATTGGAATCGCCATTCGGGCATTTGGGCATTAAGGAGGGCTAATACTTACGTGGGCATACGGTCCTGTCGCGCTGTTGTGGCCAAATACGTACATATAATTGCGCCTATTGACATCCGCGTGGAACATCCCCGTCTGCAGCAGCGGACCAACGACTCTGGCATCGGACAGGATGTCCAGGACGACGTCACGATGCTCCAAATTAGTGGCCTTAATCGGATTGTTGTACATGTCCTGGTATCTGCGGAGGAAGAGCGAGGGAAGCGTGAGTGTGCGACTCGAAACAAGGGGAACATCATCGCAACGTGGCGTATGCGTAATGTGCATTGTTAACATTCGGCTCGCTGTGGTTATGGCTGTGCGTGTGTTCAACATTTTGCGTATTTACTCTCAGTCCGTAAAGCTTAATTGCGCGGTTGGCTTTTGTGCAAAATTCCCGGTGGGACACACTCAGTCCACCAAGGAAAACAATGGCAGTCTAATGCCGAAAATCGCGAGAGAACCAAGAAAGTTCCGCTGATTTGAATTGGTTTTTGCTTGATTTGTGAACTTAGCGTGTACCAATTAAAAGGAATTCAAGCAAAATCATTTGTTATATTTTGTACAACTTTAAGGTAAGCATTGAAAGCCAAAAGAATGTATTTTGCTTAAACTCATTTTGAATTCATGTTTGTTGCCACAAAGACTAGATTGATGTTTGTTCATTCGTTGTATTCCCAAATAACCATTATTTTATACAGCTTTAAAATAACATTTTAATAAATTGTATCGTTATCCCTCTATTAAATGCCGCATTTCTTCTTCGTTTTATGGCAAAGAAATTGCCATACATAATACACAATTGAATACATATTTAAGCAACAATATCAAGTTTGAAAAGAGAAAATTCAAGAGGAAACTTTCTTTGCTGCTTAAACTTCCGTTAAACTTTCAGCGATTCACAGATTCAGCACTTTTGGGAATGCTTTAAATGAGTCTTTAATTTGCTTTTAAACAGTTTGTTAAGTTCAAACTTTTTCATCGCTCTGCCGCCTTTGGTTTTTATGATATTTATTACAGATAAACTGCCGTCATCAATGATTTTGCAATAATTTACAAGTGGTGATATTCATCGATACATGAAGATGCTTGAAATTTAAATAAAATTGGTTGATAAAATAAAAAGGGTTTGGAGCTTTCGAGAGGGAAATATGAGAGAAATATGTAAAATGAATACCTTTCTCATTGAGTTTTCCTTAAATAAAGATTCAAACCTTTCTTGTATCATGATATCATTATAGCCTCAATCGATGTTGTGCTTAGCATGTCTTTAAAGAACGCATTTTGTATATTTTCAATTAGAAGCCCGACAATTAAATCAGTGTTAGGCGAACCTTCCCCAAATTCGTTCCCTTTGTTACTTCTTTAATAAATTTGTCGCTCTCCACTCCCACATTAGATAAATCGGTGTGCTTCTGGTTAAGTCCAACCCAGCATGAAATTATTACGGCGCAGCGGGACAGACACGGCGACTGGAAAAAATACAGAAATCCCTCTGTGGCGCCTTGTGTTCATGTCAAGCACAACACTTGGCCTTTTGCTAGCAGCTGTTGGAGCAGGTACAACATGCCACAGGACACACACAAACACACGCTCACTCCGGAATATATGTTGGTGCCCCGAGTTTTTCAACGTCTTGGCGTGGCCTAATGTACAAATAAATAGAGCCATATTTTCCACATTTTCGTACGGGTTGTACTTGCTTTTCCTTTGCTTGCCATCCTGTCTGCTTGTGTTTGTGTTTCGTGTGCCATGTTATGCATTTTATTGTCGGCTACTTAAGTTATGCACTTTGACCTCCATTCAGACAGCAAAGTCGACCCCCCACGAAGAAGGCTCGGGGCAGGAAAGTCAGCGCACGGCGGGGTGTACAGTGCCACTCATGAATGTATGGCCCAAGGTGGCTAGCAAGGCGCCTCGCCTTTGCTCTACTTGCTGCTGTTTATGCAGGACTCAAAGGACATGCTACAGCAGAGGTCACTTCAGAATGCCAAAATGCATAATGTTTTATATACTCAAATTTTGTTTGTTTCTGCTTAAAAATGTGGATTACATTTCAACAATGTTAAATTTATAGCAAATGTATAGAGATTTTTATATACTTCTTTTTTATGTATACATGTTCCCATTTTTTTAACCGCTGTTGTAAATGCAGAGTCAGTTCCAGTTGCCGTCGCCGGAGACACATGTTTGCATTGGAATCGTAGTCGGAATCAGATTCAGAATCGAAGCAGCTCTCAGCATCGCTTTATATTTATTTGCGGTTTCTATTATGTAATCCCACATAGCTGAAGAGACGCTTTAAGCGTTTTACTGCCGCTCAGCGATGCGAGTGCGCAATAAATAAAGTGTGAGCTTCAAGTTTAAAATCCTTAGCTTCAATTTTCAAATGCACATGTGTTAAGGTTCCCGCAGCTGGTGAAAACTTTAATCTCATTACGCTCCGCACAGTGGAATATCGATATGAGCTCATCGAAAGCCCGCACTAACCATCGACATAATTAAAAATGCATGCAAGTTGTCATAATTCCGTTTGAGGAAAGCGGGAAAAGTTTTTGGTCGTCCATTGAGAAAACCATAAAAATTTCATTGCAAATATAATTTGGAAATCACGAGAAATGCTCTGGAAAAACACGCAAAAAGTCGGGTAAACAAAATTCGAATGCCAGCAGACCAGCACAAATGCTTAATTAAAAGTTGGACGAATGTGCATTGGGGAAATCCCATGAAAAACATGGAATAGCCGGAACGTGTGGTGCTGTTGGTAAGGAAATAAGATTAAAGTGCGCCACAAACAAACAATAAGTGGAACAATTGCGAGACCAACGCCAGCAGAAGTTTCATGAGCGAGACCAGTGCCACCGACAGTATAATTAAATATAAACGTGTGTATTTAGGCGACAATGTTAAGTAAAACATATACGCACCGCAAAACGACCCACAAAAGCGGCCAAACACACGAAAACACTCAAAAGTAACCGCAGAACTCTCGAAACACCAACACACGTGCACACCCACACACATACACTCACAAACGCCACCAACAAATGGCCACCGGAAATATGCACAACAAACACTCGAAAGTATGCAGTGGAAAGCACACACAACAAAACCAGAAACAAATAGCCGGTGAAAGAGGTGTACAAAAGCGATGAGCGTCATTTGCTTTGTGCCACTGCCACGCCCACCTTGGCAGCCACTCCCCTCCCATCATAACCCCTTTTGCACACCTTGAGTGGAAACCAAGGAATGACCATTCTGGGAACCCACAGGAGTGCGATCCAATTTGGCAGAACGTTAACATTTTTTATTTGTAACTTGAATACACGTGTACTTAAATAGCAGAAAATACCGAGTAACACAATATCCCTTTTGAATTTTAAAATTGTTTTAGAATAAACTTGTATACAACTAATTTTAACACTTACATTTGTTTATTCAAATTCGTTATTTGAATTTCCCTCTCGCTTGCTTAAAAGTTATAACCCAGTAGGCCCTTTAAAAGTTGGAACAAAGAACACGCCAAATTAGCAGCCAAATTTCTTGTGGTTTGGCAAACGGAGAACGTTCTCCCCTTAACTTGGTTGCACAGTGTAGGTTGCTGACTTCCGCTGCTCGTTTCTAGAGCGTGAAGCAACACTCACATTTAATTTCCGAAGAGCGTATGTGACACTTTAAATATTTCCGCACTCAAACAAACACTTCTCCGCCAGCAACACACTCGCACACTCGCAAACAGCGACGGATGTGAATGCGAATATGCGGATACGGATACGGAGACGCAGACAGAGACAGATATAGGGAGAGACAGGGACAGAAAGAGAGGCAGACAGACGGAGGTGTTCGCCGTACTTCTGTCCGGAGTGTCTGGTCTTTGGCTGCCTCACCCGGTTGCACAATTTTCTAGTGCCCTAGATTTTTGGCAGCTGCAGCAGTTCCGTAATGAATTTGTTGAGGAGTTTGCTAATGAAGTACGACGCCCTTTCGAATAAAATGCAATTTGGTTTTAAATTGCATTAAGCGGAAATGAGAATATGCTCTTAATGGCATTCAGCAGACTGGACAAATGTTCCTGCAGTTTCCCTTTGCTCGGGAAAACTCGTTGGCTCTTTAACGACGTTAAAGAAATTTAAGCACCCCGCTGGCACATAAAGTTCAGTTAACTTTAAGTGGAGCCAGACCTCAAATATTCCACCACCGCTTCAAATCACAGTTTTCCACGTCCCTGTGAAAGGGGGAAATCAAATCCATTTAATCACCCGGAACCGTGGCACACTACATATATCCCCGTAAACACAAAACACAGCAAAGCGAAACAACTCGTGTCTCATATCCCGAGCACATATAGACACAAGCATATAGGATGCGGACCACTAACTGGCGTTAATGCCCGACTTTTGCGGCGGATCGAAATGAAAAGCTGGTAGCAGTGTGGGTTCATGAACCCCACTTAACTGGGAATCGTGGAGAAGGCGAGGGTCGCCCATTAAGTGTTCAACCGCTGCCACGCCAAACAGGCAAGACTCCAGTGGCAGTATGTGTGTGCCCTCGAAAGTGCCGCTTGTTCCTCTAACCAACTAATGATAGAGACATTTACGGGAGAGGATACTATTTTTATCTAGTTTGAGGACATGCTACAGGGCAATAAATATTCAAAGGCATCGTTACAAGGTACATAATGTTTATATGTTTATTACCCCACATTTATTGATTAATGTCGTTCTATTTATACATACATATATGAATAATGAAAAGAAATCGTTCACTTTTTATAATAGTTTTGCAAATAAATTAATTAACAACATTAATTGTTATTTGTTTATTTTATTTGACATTCCTTCCGTTCCCCTACTTTTGCAAGCCGTGATTAACGCGAATATTTCCTTTCTTTCAATTACAAACATTTTGCAAATTACTTAGTTTTTTTGTAAAACGAGTTGATGTTTTATCAACACAAATTCGCCACTAATGCAGTAGCCAACATGGCAATTGTTGAGTTTGAACAATTCCCAGACCTGGGTAATATGCCAGTTTTCAATTATTTATTGCGCCCACGCGGGCTTACAACAATATTTGGTCAGTGCGGAACATAATATAATATATTGCGTATACGCCCCGCGCTCAGCCCAAAAAGCGTTTACCAAAATTGCTTTGCCGCATTCTGCGGCCGTTCTGTATGCTAGTATGGGTTTTAGTTGTGGA